CGACCTAAGCGCGGCCGGGCCCTGCTGTGGCGCCGGAACCGGAAGTCTGCGCTGCGGGCGCTGCTACGGACGCTCCCGCCAGCCTGGCTGTTGCCATCACGTGACCGAGGCACTGAACTCCCGGCCCCTGCGGGGGAGGAGGTCTGCGCATGCGTGACTGAGGCGCCGGGCTGGTCGCAGTGTGTGTGCATCACAGGCTTAAAGCCGGTCCGCCGGGGGTAGGGCGGCTTCCGCTGTGTGGTGGCCGCAGCTTGGAGCAAGTGGCTGGTGGGCGGGGTCTGGCTTCTGCCCCAACCCCAGGATCAGACCCGCCTTGTAGCAGGACTGTGTAGCCAGACGAGCCTCCTCCTTCCCAAGTGCCCTAAGCACGAGGCTGCAGTCAGTGCTCCCCCTCAGCTCCAATAGCCTCAGAAACCCTTTGTCCCGGGTCGGGGTGGCAGCGGGGTTGGCTCGGGAGTGGACCTGGGATTGCACGGAAGGGGGGTGCAGATGGTAGCATGCATCATGGCCTGTAAAGCAACCCATGGGTTTAGAAAGCACAGTAGGCTTGGAAGGGACTTCAAGAGCCCATGGAGTCCAGCGCTTCTCAACCTTTTTTTGTACCAGGGCCCATTTGTAAACATTGATGGCCAGTCCTGACCCAGTGCCCCCCACCCTTAGCCTCCCAGTGTGTGGGGTGGGATGGGGGGCCCCAAGTAGCCCCTCGCAGGCTGCAACTGCCAGCCTGCAAGGGAAAAGCTACAGCTTCCCACGTCTTTTTTCCCTTGATCCATTTTTAAAGTTTGTTCACAACGCTTCCATATATTTTTGCCATCCGTGGGTTGAGAATCGCTGATCTAGTCCAACCCCCTGCCCAAGGCAGGGGAAGTCTTGAGTCCCATGATCAAATCTGCAACCTTATAGATGTAGGGTCGGAAGGGACCTTGTAGATCTTCTAGTCTGACACCCTGCCCTGGGCAGCAGAGAAAACGGGGCTCAAATGACACCAGCCAGGTGAATGTCAAGCCTCTTCTCAAAGACTCTCAGGGTAAGAGCCATAACCACTTACCTTGGAAGTTGGTTTCAGGTCCTAGCCGCCCTGACTGTGAAGTAGTGCCTCCTGATATCTAGCCTGAATCTACTCTCTGTCAACTTACGGCCGTTATTCCTTGTTCCTCCGGGAGGCGTGCTGGGGAACAAGGTCTCTCCCAAACCCCGCTATTCCCCTCTAGTAAGTTTATAGATGGCCACCAGGTCCCCCTTCAGCCTTGTCTTGCAAAGGCTGAACAGGTTAAGGTCCTGTAGCCTCTCCTCATAGAAGCTGCCCTGCTGTCCCCGGATCATGCAAGTGGCCCTCCTTTGGACCCTCTCGATGCTGTTCACAACCCTCCTGAAGTGTGGCACCCAGAACTGGACACAGTACTCCAACTGCGGCCTGACCAGTGTCACGTGAAGGGGGAGGATCACCTCCTTGGATCTGCTTGTGATGCATCTGTGGATGCAGAGCAAGGTATGGTTAGCTCTACTGACCATGACCTCGCATTGTCGGCCCATGTTCAGCTTGGAGTCAATAATGACCCCAAGATCTCTTTCTGCCTCCGTGCTTCCGAGAAGGGAATTCCCCAGCCTATAGGTATGCTGCTGGTTCCTACTGCCCAAGTGCAGCACCCTGCGCTTGTCAGTATTGAATCCCATCCTATTTTCATTTGCCCACCCATGTAACCTGTCCAGGTCCTGCTGTAATCTGTTCTTACCTTCTAGCGTGCCCACCTCACCCCAAATCTTGGTGTCATCTGCGAATTTAAACAGGCTGCTCTTCACCCCGTCGTCCAAGTCGCTAATAAAGAAATTGAACAGTGTGGGCCCGAGAACTGAGCCCTGGGAGACCCCACTGCCCACTTCCCTCCAGGCTGAAAATGATTCGTCCACCACCACTCTCTGAGTGCGACCCCTCAGCCAATTTGCAATCATCTGACTGTGGCATCTCCAGGTAAAGACAAACTAGCAGCTTTGCCAATATGCCAGGGGCCCAGGGCGGCGTGCATCTCTTTAAGACTGAAGCCAAAAAACAGAAGTTCCTTGGAAGGAGTTAAAACAATAAGCTGCCAGGCTGTGAAATAGGAACGTTCTTACCAGGAGCCATAGACGACACGTGTCCCGCACTGAGATTGGCTTATGCCGCCACCGGCTTCTGCAGGCGCTCACTGCCGGCCCCCCATTCCCCTGCCACTATTGCTAGAATCTGCAGGCGGTCACTCACTGATCACCACCTCCCCCCTCGCTGCCATTAGCAGTGATTGCAGGTGGTCCCTGCTCGCCACCCCTCTCCCCCCAGCTGCCGCTGCCAGCATCTACAGGCAGTCCCCGCTTGCTGCTTACCATCCATGCCTACAAATACTGGCCCCCCAAGTCTTGGGAGGCACCAGTCGTTCATGCCAGGAGTAGTCAACAGAGAGCAGAGCTGCAGAACATTTTAAAATTGTAATGCCATTTTTTAACATCCAACAGATGTCTATAGCATATAGGACTAGTAAACAATAACAAATTAATGAGCGAGATATAAATTATAGGATTTTTTAATATATTATTGAAAAGCATTCATTGTCCGGTTCAGATACTGTTGTTTAAAGCTGCAACCCATATGATTTCAGGTAAGTCTGACAGCCAATATAAAGTCAGCCAAGTTTGTAAACTTGTGACAAATACTCATTTATTATTTGGGAACTGGAAAAGGAAAAGGAGGAGGAAAAAACACAAATGGTGACATTCTGCAATCATTCTGATGTACAGAATTTCTGAAAGAGATGACTTGGGGTTATAGTCCTACATTTCCTTTGCAAATTGTAGAAATCATCTCACTTACAAGGGGAAAATAACTTTACCTTTCATATGTCTTAACTCCAAAGGATGACAGTTCATAAGAGCCAGCAAAGACCTTGAGACTGCTAAATTGTCCATTAAAATTAATGGAACTTACTTGACTTTTACCAAAATTGGGCAATTCTTTTTGAATTCTCAGGATAGATCTTGTAGATGAATTGTGAGAGCTGAGAAACTGCATTGCAGATCATTATGTGTGTGTCAAGAACGTCTGGGTAGGGGGCTTTTCATCAGGAAATAAAGTGAAAACTCAGGAAGATACTTAGGAATTCTGAAACAATGCATGTTCCAGCTGTTTCTGCTGGTTTAAGTAAAACTGCCTGTGTACTTTCTGATGTTAGGAGATCTAGAGGGCATTATACAGAAGACATCTATCTGCTCTTACTTTAATCCCTTCAGAATGGTTTTTGTGGGTCTTGGGAAATGAAGTAGTTTGCAGATGATAGTCTTTCAATCCATATTCCAACTCTCAGAATGTACAAGTGCAGGCTCTCATGTTACCTACAAAAAGAAAATATACATATATTAGTCAATATGCTCTGAGTCAACAGTTCCAAATCCTGCATGTTCTAATTATGTAATAGCAATATTAAATTGATGATAATACCTGAGACTATCATCATTTGAGTCTATTTGTTTTCACCCCCAGCCAAGTAAAAGGAAAGGAAAGGAAAGGTCTGGTACAAAAAATAGAACAAACGTATATGAGGAGGCCTAGGCTTGGCTTTTTCCTCTCCATTATGTGCAAACTATGAAATTCATTAGAAAATTAGAAAATATTTTAAGATGGAATTGGGCTTTATAAAGACGTGTTGCAGACATTTTCAGATTACTATTATACATATACTAGCCAATTGCCGTCAAGAATGATGTGGGGGGGGCGGGGCAGGGCAGGCTGGCAGGAACAGAGTGCAGACACTCAGCACCCCACGGTGCTGTTGCTGTCCCTCCAGCCCCGTGTGCCCCACCCCCATCCCCCCTGAGTCCAGCCCTGTGTGCCAGAGTTGGGGGGCCGGGCCAGTGCTGTGCCACCAGCACCCCACACCACCGCCACCTCCTTGGAGGCAGTGGTGACACAGGATGCTGTTGTATGTGGCGGTAAGGCTGCATCGGCCTCCGGCCCCATGCACCCTCCCCAACCCTCTGCATCTCTGCATTTGGCCCCGTGTGCAAGAGCGAGGGGATGAGGCCAGCACCACAGGCCTCACCCACCCGCTCAGGCTCCTCAGTCTCTGTCGTCATGGGTGGAGTGGGGTGGATGGAGCCCCCTGCCCCACCCCATTCCCCCCCTGCTCCCGCCCTGCTGCTTTGGGTCCGGGCCCATTTTCCCCTCTCTCCATCCCCCTCTGCCTCGAAGGAGCAGGGGCGGAGAGGGGGCGAGGCCAGCACCACTGTCCTCACCCCACCACTCTGGCCCTAGTGGGGGATGGTGTCATCATGACAGTGGGGACTGGGGGGCAAGGCCAGCAGCACTGGCCTCACCCCCCAGCTATGGCCCCACGCCTTGGAGGCAGGGTGGGACAGCAGGGATGGTGCCATGATGGTGCCGTCGCCATTGCCT